GTTACCGTTTATTAACACGATACGATATTCTTTTTGACTGCTCTCTGCAACAACTTAAAGACGATAGAAATCTAAATTTTGACCTAAAAGGTCATGTAATTAATTCCCTGCGAACAACTTACAACTGACTAGATGTCGCTAAGTGATATCATATCTAAAACGTTTTTAATTCAAATTGTTGACCTCTCAGGCCAAGAAAAATAAATACTTTAAAAAAGATGCCTATAAAATAATCAAAGTCACCTTTTTGTTATTGATAAACAAAGTTTCTTCTTGTTCTAATTTGAAATCTTTGCCCAAACAAGACTGTCTAGCACTAGAATTCAGTTCCGTAAGCATACTACTTGAAGCTCCATGCGACCCGCACATGCACGTACTTCTGATGCCTAGACTGATGCATTCTGATGAGATCACAGATATCACATTTGTAAACGAATAGTTTTTTATCACATAGAAGCTCAATTAGAATCTAACATTCACTAACGATATTCATACATCTATACGTTTGAGCTTCCGGTCATGTGATAACACAGGAAACCCAAACATGATACATAGATAGATTGGCTAAAAAATAAAACTTAGTCCGACTAATAAGTCATAGAACGGAGAGTAACACTCAAATTAAAGTGAAATTTCAGTTTATCGACTTTATTGATCGATTTTATCGGTTGGTGTCGTCGAGCCCTTACACGAGTTTTTTTTATTTTGGCCCCTCAGGCCGAAACGCTACTAAGATCAGTTTGCAAACCCATAATTTTTTGTCTCCTCTGTCAATCATCTTACAGTTCAGYGAATCAGATTCCTTGTAATCAGCATTAGCCAATCACATATCGAKAAAGAACTTTCTGTTTCGTAATTCATCACRGCRATAGAATGTGATCTTGATATTCATTCAAAGTATCAAAATAGCWTCAATTCTTATCTCAAACAAGTGTGAKCTATTCAYCTCAGGCCCATCRAACTCTCGATTTGAATGGAAACYTTCCAGGACATTGTACTTTTTAGTACAAACYGACGATTCCCGGTGTGATTACRTTTCACCAACTTGACATGTCTTATAGCTAGCCGTAGAATTGTAGATYGTTCGCAYTAMGGAAACCGTATTTTGCATTATCACTGAAATCCTATTTTTTAAAGACTTAAAATCATATTTACGCTAACATAATGTCCATAGACTTGCACTTACTTCGTATTACTTTCACCGTGCCACTATTTTATCGGTAAATTTAACTGTTCGAGTTTGCTCTATGTTTACATCTGATAAAATTTATAAGTTGATAACACACTCCACACGGATAGTGTTGCGTGACAGCAGAGGACAGTTGCTTTAGGAGTTTACAACGGGTACTATGACTGAATTATAGAAAAGGCTTGTTCCTGGAGCAAATAGAAACAACTAGACGCTTGTAAAAGTGTGATGCGGGCTAGCTTAGCAAAAGATTTTCAATACAAGATAAAATTGTATCTCCAATGAATATTGTGACTATGACGTAACTATATATGAAAGTAAAATATGCCGTAGAACACCTTAGTTTTCTTTGCAGTTCAATTCTTATCGTGCACCGCAATATTCTTTTCTGGAAACTAATCGTTAACCTTCACTGTCTGCTATAATCTTATCATATATCAACTATCAACCATAATCCTTTTGCTATAGTGATTGTCCTACATTTGCAATGTATTTTGTAATAATATCTATGGAAGCTCTTTACTTCTTGGTTAGCGATATCACATTATTATTTACATAGCAATGCATTTTAGATGGCATGGGTGCATTCTTTAAATTTTGTTTTTATTAGCCTTTCTTTCGTACAAAAGAAATCTAAAAGTTGAAGCAAAACAAAGTTCAATTTCAAAACTTGTACTTTGTCATTTTTAACTAATAAAAAAACCCGATGATATTAAAGCAATTTCTTTGAATTTGAACAATAGAAACATTGTCATTTAAACAGAAAAATACCTTTTGCTGTCTATAAATGTGGACAAAAGCCAGTATTTGAGCTGATTTCATGTTGAAGCTGTACTGAATAATCATCGAGCTGGACTGGTGAGGAAGGCGAGACTATTTTCGATGCAAAATCGTCTTAAAATGATAATTAGCAAGCTTGAGACTTCACAAATGCAATATCCTAGTTCAATTCTTCAATGAGAAGGCTTTTGGTATTTCTTGTTGATAGTTTTTGAGTACTTTTTTCTCTGTTATCAGCGAAGTACCCGCCATTTTGGATTCTTGAGAAAATTTTCAGTTCGAGAGAGACTGCAAACTAATAGATATGGCTTCCTGTGGTTCGAGAGAGACTGGAAACTGCGACCCGACAGAGTGGAAAAGGTAAAACTATAGCTGGCTAGCACAGCTAGCCCGCTAATAAATATATATCCTGTTTTTTCAAAATAAAAAATCACGAGGCATTGTAAACGTTCTGATTTCAACGAGCCTTCCCCCCGGCAAGCTTAAAAGGTCCAGTGTTCTTCAGTTTATTGTTCTTTTTTAAATACTTTTGAACTGAAATGAACTGGTTTTAGATAGTAATTTCTTTGAACTGCTCATACTAGCAGCCAGTTCTTACACACTATACTGTGAATTAAACTAATTTATCAAACATTTAATGTAGGTCCGTATTATATAAAAAAAAACACCCCACACCCCCACCCCTTATTTGTAAGGCAGCCTATTTCTAAGGCACTATTTAAGCTTAATAGACAAAAAAAGAACAAACGCAGCACTGCACTGCACTGAACTGTAGAGGGCCGAAACATCACTGCTCTTAGAGCAATATAGCCTTGTTCCATGTGCTTTCACTAACGAGGATCCAAATACATTTAATAACATTTAAAATATCATGAATAAGTCATAGAACGGAGAGTAACACTCAAATTAAAGTGAAATTTCAGATTTAAGATCGACTTTATTGATCGATTTTATCGGTTGGTGTCGTCGGGCCCGTACACGAGTTTCTTTTCCATGTGTTTTCACTGACAAGGATCCAAATACATTCAATAACATTTAAAATATTATGAATAAGTCAGAGAACGGAGAGTAACACTCAAAWTAAAGTGAAATTTCAAATTTTGCGTTTTGGCGGGAGTAGGATAAATCTTACATGTAACTTAACCTTATCGTGCAAGCGTTCATCGAGAAAGGACAGAAGTGAATCTAGAATTGACGTGCATTACATGAAACTGAACAAAAACAAAAAAGTACCACTGAAAAGCAAATTATTGTACGTACTTACCCGTTAGAGAAGCCAGAACGGATATTAACAATGGCGAACGAAAATTACAAAGCTTCCATGTTGGTTCAGTCGCTTCTGTCAGATCCCTTTCTTTACCCAGGGATCATTGCCGCATTGCTAAGCCCGGGCTCCTTTCGGTAACGATAACCACAGGCAGCCCTTGAAGTAGATGGGAGTTGCAAGAGAATTTTAGTAGCATTTTAGGATCATTTCACCTCGCATGAGTCAGTAAAGGAGTAATACACTTGACGAATCTTGTAGATAAGATTTTTCRTGTTTATAAATTCAAAGTAGAAAATGGCCGAACAAAATATGCAAAACCATATGGACACTAGGGCTTATGATCGTCGCAATCACACGCGCATTCATAAGCAGCCCGACTATTTCGAGAGACTTAAAATTTACAAAAAATATTATTTGTTTTTTTTTGTCTATGTAAACAGTCGATTTATAGCATTAATATACATTAGATTATGCTATTACTTGCTGTGTGGATTATTATAGCTACCGGTATTAATCTCTGGAGAGATTTTCAGAACTTTTTACTATAAAATGTGGCAGTTTATAATAAGAGGGTCATGAAAGTTTTGAAAATTGCTCCAGATATTACCAGTAGAAATACATAATCCACACAATAAGTTATAGCGAAATTTCAGCTTAAAATGTTTTGTTAGGTATATCAAAAGACTAAAGTCGGCCGTTATTAAAGTTAACAAATAGGGGATAAATTCCATGGGTGCGCGGAGATGCGGATTTTATCTTCGAATGCTGAAAAGATCTCTCATGAGTGATTGTAGCGAACAAGTGAGAGATTTTCAACACGAGAAGATAAAATTCGTATCTCCAAGCGAAAATGTAATATTCTGTTTTTATGATAAATATTATTATTATACTATATATTATCATATCATTACAAACCAAAAAAA